CTCGCTTTGTTTTCTCGCAGTCAAATCCACCCGCGTTGCCTCCTCCTGTTTCAGCAGTCAAGTCCACCTGCCACGCCTTCCGTGTTCTCGCGGCCAGATGTGCCCACACGCCACTTTATGTTTCAGCAGTCAAATCCACCCGCCGCCTCACTTGTGAGTCGTCGCAGGCAGATGCACCTGCCACGCTCACTTTGTGTTCGTGCAGTGAAATCCACCCGCCGCCTCACTTGTGAGTCGTCGCAGGCAGATGCACCCGCCACGCTCACTTTGTGTTCGCGCAGTGACATCCACCCGCCATGCCTTCTGTGTTCTCGCGGCCAGATGTGCCTGCCGCACACCACTTTCTGTTTCAGCAGTCCAATCTACCTGCCGCCTCAGATGCTCCCGCCACGCTCACTTTGTGGTCGCGCAGTGAAATCCATAAAAAAAGAACTGATACAGTATTTACATTAATAATAAGAAGTGATAAAATAACTAAGGCTCTGCTCCTTCTAGGGCGGCAAGTTAATTTTTTAGAAAATCTTAAATATCTAATTATAAAATTAATTTTAAGTGTTTTAGAAACAATAAATTTAAAAAATCGGGCAACACTTTTAGCTATTAAACATCGTTCTCTAATTAAACCTGAGAAATTAAATTCACTACTGGAGGATAGCGCTACCGGTCCACAGGATAGTTCTGATTTAGAAAAAAAAACTAATAATATTATAGCATATATTATCCAACAAGTCTTTTCATTTACTTTTTATGATAATTATATATCATGAATAAAACTGAATAATTTTTTTAAACAGCGCGAGGCAACCAATGCTACTAATTTAAATAAAAAATTAACTTGACTTATTAAATACATAGATAGCCTGGTTCCTCTTATTTTTTCTATACATAGCCTAGATCCATTTAAAAAATTAAGATTTTTAAATAAAAATATTTCTTTAACTGTTGCTGCTTCTTTCCAGCCCTACCTAAACAGCGTCAAAGGGTGCGGTAGACCTTCGGATCCTTCAACAGATTCGGCTACAAACCTACCCAACCTGCCCTTCCATACGGATGGAAATAAAGGAAGTGTCATTATGAAAGTGCGTAGCCGAGCGTTAGCGCAGAGTAGCCAAAGCCAGCTAGCAGAAACAAAAAAAATAACAAATTTACAAAGCCAGGCAGCCAAGAACTTTACACTAATACGAAGTATTGAATTTTATAAAAACTATAATAATTTAGTAAATGCAAAATTAACTATAATAGGTAAAATTAGAAGTATTAAGTTAGTAGAGTTATTAGATAAAATTAAAGAAGGAATTATTAAAGCTGAAGAATTAGCTGCTTTGGAAAGAGTTGCCGATATTACATACTTAAATTTAATTAATAAAAAAAAATCTCGTCGTTTAAATTCAAGTAAATACTTAAATAAAAAAAATATTTTATTATCTAATAGAATCAAAATTTTACAAACGGTTGAAACAATAAAAACTGATTTTATATTTGAGCCTAAATTAGATAGTAATGCATTAAGTAAAACACCTGTATCTCTATTATATTATTCTAACTTACAACCGCTTACTAGGTCTGACTCTGTCCTTCCATCCGTACAGGGTTATGGGACCGAGCCAGAGAATCGCAACCAGAGCCACGCCTCCGGTCCGCAGGCAGGCAAAGGGAAAAATGCAGAAGGTGTGAGTGTTGCCCTGCGGAACAAATGTAGCTGTACAAAAGGGTGATAGCCTGCGCTGGGGACCGCCTCTGGGTGGCTACCTTTCCAAGCACACGCACAGCCTTTGAAGGAGGGCGGGGCTGATAGGACTGGAACTCTGAAATTGTGCGTTCCTGTACTATAGCCGGAGCATAGTGTGGTGCTCTCCAGGCGTCACAGCTAGGAATGGGCAATGGTTAACGCAGAGTAGGCTGGCGATCATTACTAGCTGCTGCTATGTTTTCCACCCCGTAAGTTACTGCGTAGCCGACAGCAGAAAGTAGTAATGATCGTAGCGTTCCGTCCCCTTGAAATGGCTAATGATCTCTTTCTTTCTGCCCTAGCTATGCTCTCCACCAGTTTTTTAAGTGGAGTACTACGATCCCTAACATAAAAGAGAGAAGGAAGGCAGGGACGCTACGTAGGCGAGAGCAGAAGAAGAAGGGTGCTCTTAGGTACACTCCTCTCGGGTGCGGAGCAGCGGAGCCCCTCCTACGGAGCGCTAGCTTCTACTAAAAAAACAGAGGAAAGAAAGGCTGGGGATTATTAATCAATATTAGCCCTGCTTGCTTAGCATGCCTACCCTGCGTTAGTTCAAAGGCTACCCTCCGTCTAAGTGAAGTTGGAAGTGGACCCTATTCAGGTAGCCACTACCCTTTGCTCCTCTATATTGATCGTAGTAAGCTGGGCTTCGCAGGACTTCGCTGAAATAGGAGCTTCGCTAGGCTTGCTAGGCTTCGCAGGGGTTGGCATCCATCCATCCGTGTCCCTGCTGTCTTTCCTACTTAACAGAGGGAAAGAAGCAAGGGTCGGAAGGCAGGCAGCAGTACTTCATAGTCCACAGGCTACGCTCCCGTACGGCCCCCATAGATCGAATAATCGTAGGTCTGTAGGCTTCGCTGTTAGCAATAGTTAATAATGCTAGCCTGTCCTCCGGATCAACGGCTAACGCTCTTAATGTATTTTAATATTTTCAAGTTTCTATAAAAAATTGATTACCTAAAAACTAAAAGTGGCTATAGTATTTATTTCCCCTCCGACCCTGTTAGTTGCGCAGCTGCCATTTTCTGGTTGTTTACTGTTCCTAGGATCCTAGGATCATAGAACCAAGCAACCTATTGCCTATTCCCAGCGCCCATTGAAGAGCAGAGGAGCAACCCTCCTTTTTATAGGCCTCAAGCTATCCTATTTGCAAAACATAAAGTACAGTAAGGGCTTCGTCTAGGTACTGGCCGGGGCTTCGTCTAGGTACTGGCCTTTGATTAAGTATAGGTTTGGCCTTTGTCTAGGCACAGATTTGGCCTTTATCTAGGTATCCGTCTTGGCTTCGTCTAGGCCGTTCGTGCAGACTATCGTCTAGGAAGGGGTCTATTTGACCGTCCGTGCTAACTATCCATAAGTAACAGGTCTATTAGGCCGTCTGTGCTGGGTTTTATTGCATCCTTCAATGGCTCTGACCGTCAGGCTTGTTGGTATAGTTTGCACTAAATAAAATAACTATAGCCCATTTTAATATATAATCAAACATGTTACAGGCCCACTCTGTATTTTTGCCGGGGGTTGTGACACGCATGACTTTAGATAGTTCTTCGTCAAGGCAGCATTCGGACCGAGACAACCCTAAGGCTGAATTGGACATCTCACCTACTTAGTTGGATTCGCGAGACTTAACGCTAAGAGCCACTACGACTCTAACCCTCTTAGGTAAACCCAGAAATAAATAAGACCCCTGGCTTTCCACTGTTAAAGGACCCCTTGTAAGAGCAAATACCCAGTGGAAACCCAGGCGAAAGTCAGACCACTCCTGGTTTTGAGCAAACCCTGGCGTAAATAAGTGCAGCATTTACTCTGGAATTTGTTTGTACTGGCTAGGCCAAAGTAAGCAGGAACGCACGTCAAGGAATTGAACCACCCCATCGCTTATTATTAAATTTGCAATAGTGCCAGAGCGCGCTTATTTTTAAGGAATTTTACAGGTACCTTTATAAAGGTATAAAATTAGAGCTACTTTTAATATTTATTTTTATAGATCTTTAAAATTTTATTTTTATAGATCTACTGTTAATTTGATAGTTATTTAATTAAAAAAAGTCAGGGTTCGTTGCTACGATCATTACTTTACTGCTATGCTACGATCATTACTTTGTTGCTATGCTACGATCATTACTTTGCTACGCATGCTACGCCCCACCATTAAAATGGCTAATGCTCTCCTCCTTCGGTAGGAAGGCTGGCGTTCCTTATTAGCCACCTCCTTCGGTAGGAAGCCTTTGAAATAGATAATGTTGGTTCTCTTACCTTCGGATCAATGGCTAACGGTCTTACCTTTGTTGCTGGCAATAGGTAAGGATGGCACCCAAACCCAGGTAGTGGTGCGCAGCCCTGTAATGATTGCTTGGTACTAATGGTTCAATAGCTAATAGATCGAAACTGAACCAGAGCAACAGTAGCGCTGCCCTCTCCCCCCTTCAAGGGACGGGTACCCACCCTAGCTACGCTTCTCTCTGTTTTTTTAAGAGGTGGTGGAAGGCTGGGAGCCCTAATGATACAAGAAGAAAAAGCAGTTACTATGAAGGAGACGCAGCCCTTAATAAAGCAGACATTACATAAATACTGACAACCTTACAAACAATGTAATTATCATGTACATTTTGAACAGCAAGTTTTATAAAACTAGCTTAAACTTATTGTTATAAAATTTTATACCGGCTCGGGTTCCTTATCTACGATTACCTGCGTATCAGAGACAACAGTACCTCTGGAAGGTAGCGACTACCAGGTCCGATTTGCAACAGCAGGGCTACCTGCACTCTTGAGCGTAGGCTACTACTAAGGTGATGCTTTTTTACCTACGGTTCCTAAGGACCGAAGCATAGAGTGTACCAGCTATTGTAGTAGAGCTATCCTTATTTGGCTTTGTCTACCTTCCCTCTGTTAAGTAGGAGCGTAGCCTTAACAGAAGAATAAGGCAGGCTTTTTCTACTTCTTTGAAGGCGGAGAAAGTCCCACCCTCTATAATGACCGTAGTGCACGAGGAACCCTGTCAAGAGGGTGGTGGCGCTGCTCTTACTCTGGGTACTTCATGTTCACTGCGCTAACGCGACCGAAGGAGTACTGGCTACCATCATTACAGAGAGCCGCACAAAAAGAAGGAAGCCTGGTTAATTACTGAAACTACAGGCTCGTACTGCGTACGCTGACAGGGAGCTGGTGACGGTCGAGGGGTGGGGCTAACACAAACTAACACAAACTAATGCAAACTAATACAACCCGGCTATATATTTAATTATTGACACTATCTTTGGAACAAGATTACGAACAAAGAGACTTGAACTCTTAAGGAATTACTTCCACTTCTTCTTAAGAGAAGATTGTTTACCAATTTCAACATGTTCGCTATTTTTCTTTATTTTTTTTTTGTTACTTTTTATATTATCTTTGATAACCGTACAATGCTACTGTACTTTTAAGAGGTAAGACTACTAACGCAGACTCTGCTATAAGGGAGTGTAAGCCTAACCCTGCACAAACTAACTGGCTAACCTTTTGCTTTGTATTACGTAAACATGTTGCTGAACCAAGCGATTGCATGACTGTTGCCTCTACGGAAGGTCATTGGATTTTTCTTTAAAAGTTTAACTTCGTCAGTGCTACAATCCGCAAGGGAAAGAAGTTAGCGTAGCAGCAAAAATTAATTTTATTTTCCGGCTCTTAATTACGATCATTATACTCTTGCTCCGATCCGTAGGTAAGAAATTTTTCTGCCTTCCACCTATAATAGCTAGCGCCGTGCTGCCCTTCTTCTTTTACTTGTTCTTCTTCCTCCGGATTGACAGCAACCGGTAGAGCGTAACTAGGTTGCAAAGACGATCAAAAAAGGGTGGTACCCTTTTTTGATTGTAGCCCTCTTACCTTCGGATCAATGGCTAACGCAAGAAGGAGGAGCGAATCTACTCCTATGGTGGCAATAGATCCTTCTTATTAAAAATTGAAGCATTGCGATGATAATGGCTGCTACGATCATTAAACATTAATCATTTCTATGCGGTGGCTGCTGCCCTTACCTTACTTTGTTACGTAACCTCATCGAACCCCTGCTTCGGGGGACCCGCTAGCAAAGGGCAATAGCTCAGGGTTATCGTTCCACTCGGCTACGCAGCTCCAACCAAAGTAGGAACCGCTGCCGAAGAAGTATTACTATACCTACGGTTACCTACGTTTATCTATGTATTGGTGGTAGCCAGAGAGCCTATAGCCTAAGAAGTTAAGGCTACCCTTGCCTGCCAGCCTGTGGTCGTGTTAGTGCTACCGGGTCCTACTTAGTCAGTGCTACGCAGACTATGAAGCTGCAGAGCGTGGGCTATCAGACCGGAGCGTCACACCCCTTGAGTTAGGACTGCTCAGCAATTGCTACTATACGGCTCGGCTCCGCTGTGCTATTCTAACCCTTTTACACCCAGCAAGAGGTCCCAGAGCAGGGTATACGGCACTACGCAGCTACGCCTTTTACTTGTCCGACTGAGAGTTCTCGGTCTGGTAGTTGCCGGGGCAAGGGCTACGCTTCCTACTTCCATAAGTGTGTAACCTGTAAGCAGCAAAGCACGTATAAAAAGGGTGCATTTCAAAACTGTTTGTTTCGGGCACCCTCTATAATGATCATAGCCTTGTACACTATCGATTTTAATTATTTAGTGAGAAGTCTCCAGCAGAGGGGGTAAGATAAATTACAGTGACAAGGTAGAGAGTTGCAAGGCTACGCTGCTAACGTACGTACGTAGACGAAGTAAGCGGAGCGGAGCATAGTAACACTAGCCCCCTACACCAACCCTAGTTTATTTCCAATAACGAGACTGTACAGCACTTCACCAAGCCCCTCCGGGGCCACCTCCCTTATCTTAACTAACTAACTTAGCGCTGGAAAGGGTCGCTAGGAGGGGATAATTAAAAAGAGCATAGTACAGTAACTCCAACACTGCGCTAGCTTGAAGTTAAAGTATCCCTCCTTCAACAGGGTAAGTCAGTGCCTTACTTAAATTCTGCTACCTCCTTCGGGGAAAAGCGCAAACTAGCATAAACCCAGAGTTTGCAGATGCAAAGCAAAAATAGTACCGGCTCCGCATTGACCCATCCTTCCTCCCTTTACATAACAAAGTATGGTATCTGTCTTCAGGTTACTACCCGTATAAGTAACGTAAGCGTGGGGCACATACGGTAGCAAAGGCTCCACACCTCTACGTAGTCAGCACCTCTACGTAGTCAGCACCTCTATGTAGTCAGCACCTACGTAGCGTAGCGCTACAACCCCAAGTGTTGTGTGGTGGTGGTTACAATGCTTTGGCTACGTACGAAGAAACCTTCTTTCTTACAGCTTATAAATCAGTACGGCTCAGCGTGGGTTTGCTCCGTAGAGTCCAAATAGAGTAGGAGGACCGGCTTTACCCTTGTTTTTTTTTATAGTTCAGTTCCTGTGTGCGGAGCCATAACGTGTCCCCCCTAAGGAGAGGTAGTAGTTTTAAGAGTCAAAAGGAAATACTATAAAAACCAAAATTATGCCCAGGAATTGAGTCGAACAAATGTATCTCGATCTTCAATCGAGCGCTTT